CCTGTACTGCAGTTCTCCTATTCATAAATTAAAATGGAAAAAGGCTTTTCTCTTGCTCTTTACACAAGAAGCCCCATAGTTTCATTTTGAACTGAGCCCTTCAAATAACCTAGCTAGCTCTAGTAGGCCAATATGTGTTGCCAAATCATATGTTAGGGCAAAAGGTTGGAAATAATAATAATGGCCTGATACTCATTCTCTTGCACCGTCAGGTGACATGTAACTAGAATACAAATGTGATATAATTGGAGGATAGTGTTCTTTCCTGAAGGTAAGGTCCTCCTCATGCCGGAACACTTACAACCAAGACTTGCCAAAAAACTTGATACATTGATTTTGCTGGTAAATATGTGTTAATTTAAAATGATTGAACATATTTTTATTTCAACCAAGTAGATATACCAAAAAGTGAAACAGCCTAAGGTTCCTAGGAGGCTTATTAAATAAGCATAGCATATTCATGCAGTAAAATACGGTATATCTCCAGGGCCCTCCTTGGTGGTGCAGCGGGTTAAAGCACTGCACTGAGAATCTAAAGCCGCTTCCGCATGAGTTCGATCCCCACATGTCCCAGAGGTGACCACATGGCGTGGCAGACCTCTCCTGACCCGCCCACTGCTCCCCTCAGCAGTGTACTTGTCAGTCCACCTGTTCTGCTCCCCACTCTGTCTCTGGTAAATCTTCTCATCGCGCCCCTGCACCTCTAGCCTGTACCCCAGTTCTATATGAATAAATAAATAAATCTTGTGATTGAATTCGGTATATCTGTATAAAATAACAAAGATGTCCATTTTTTAAGGTTTATTTATTTATGCATACAAGAGCGGGGGTGTGGGTCAGAGGTGTTGAGGGTGAGAGTGGTCCCCAGGAAAAGGGGAAGCTCCAGGTTCCCTGCCCCACCCAGAAGGGGGGTGGAGCTGAGCAGAGAAGAGAAGGAATCCGAAGGAAGCTGGATGGAGGCCAGAAGGAAACCTAAGGAAGCCACATGGACCAGAGAGCATGTGATGAAGAAACGGTGCTTGTTTCCTGACCCTGGACTGGTTGAAAGAGATGTAGGTGAGAGACCCGCGGGGAGGTGACTCTTGGCAGCGGTTATCTTGATTTTGATTATGTTGTTTTCCTCCCAGACTTGTCTGGCCATAAATGACCCCTTTCTATACGTCCCGGCCAGAAGGTGCTTTAGGCTGTGGTGGGCTTTCAGACCTTGTTTTGGGCCAATCCCTTTTGGGAGGACTTTTACCCACGAGGGTTTGAGTAACTTTAGGTGTTTGATTTAGAAATTATGTTCTTTATCTTTTCTGTATTGCACACTGATTGTATTAAAGTTCCTTTCCATTAATGCTCTTTGTCTTGTATTGATGAAGCAGATGGCAGAACCTATTTACAGCAGGGAGGTTTGGAGTTTGGGGGTTCCGTGGTGCCTCTCTGCCTGCCCTGCAACAAGAGGATTCGCGATACAGAGTGGGGAACAGACCCAGCCCACTGCCTGATAACACTGCTGAGGGGGCGCCTCAGGCACAAGAGTTTGGGTCTTCTCCCTGGCGGGATTGCTTCACAGTACTGAGACTTAGTTTCCGTGCGTCACCAGGGAGACCCCATAAAATAACAGTGATGTTCTTTAGGCACTAATATGGGAAGATCTCTAAGATACCTTGTTATCATTTGCTTTTTTAAATGGTGCTGGAAAAGTGAGGTGGTCCTCGTTTGCAGCGACTCGCTCCCGGGCTCCCTCTAGTGGTGTGTGTGTGTATTTGGATTCAGAAAACACTGACTCAGGATGCCTTTCAACCTATGTAATTTCATACCTTACAACAGAATAAATGAACAAGCAAATAATTATAATGATATTTTAAAGTTCCAGAGAGCTCTATTATGGAACTATGCATTAAATAAATCACCCCATAAGCACAACAGCGTCTATTATTCTATTATTACTTATGTAAGATACATTTTACTCATTCTCTCAAAAAGCCTCAGCAGTTGCTACTATTGAGCAATATGTGAGTAGGCTGCCATTAATCACATGCTGTCTCCCATATGCACAGCTGTTCATGAGTATCAACACTCACTGCATTGGTGTCACTTTGCACGCATGACTGTTCAGGCTCATCAGACAGGGTCAGAGATGCAGACTCTGCAAATTACCATGGTGAGCAAAACACAAGAAGGAACTTGAGAATCCTTGCAAAATCACACAGCCTAGGGCTCTCTCTGGTGGCACATGGGTTAAAGCACTGCATTATCAACTCTCCAAAGCCACTGCAGCACAAGTTCAAACCCTGACCAGGGAGCTGACCCACATGGCACGGCAGACCTCTCCTGACCCGCCCGCTGCTACCCTCAGCAAGTATTTCAGTACATCTGCCTGTTCTGCTCCCCACTCTGTCGCTGGTGAATCCTCTCACCCACCACACCTCTGGCTTGTACCCTAGTTCTGTTAAGCATAAAGAAATAAATCTTTAAAAAAAAATACACAGCCTACACTACACAAAGTCAGTTATATTTTAGTACTGAGGGAAATGACGGGTCCTGCTGGACACTGCCAGGGCAGTTCCCCTGCCAGGTGTAGCCACACCATACTCCTGCTCAGAAATACCTGATGTTCCCACCCACAGATTTCTGTAAGTAGCAACACCACTGGCTTCATTTTTGCTGGTACCCTCTCTGAGTTACCTTTGTGTAAAAGCCCTGTCACGCAAGGGGCTGCTCACCCTAGATCCAGAAATTACCCCCTTTCCAGCTGAGCTCTTCGGAGGTGAATAGTGGCGCATAGAGTGGTGGTCATTCTGTGTTCTACTGTGGGGGGAGAGTAGGAGGGGGCAGAGGGGAAATTTTCCCCACCCCCATGTGTTCTCAGACTGGTCAAGCAGTCACATAGTATCAGACAGGTGAGAGGAGAGAAGAACAAAGTCAACTGCAACAAATGGAGACCCCATTTGGGTGCTGATTCTAAAGCCAGTGGGACAAAATGAGAACCGATATACCCTGAGCTAAGGAGTAGGGGAAAGGCTGGGATTCCAGGCTGCCATGCAAAGAGAGTGACTCATATGATGAGTAATTTTGCCTGCCATATAGATTTATTATTTTTTTTTACACATATAGAGCTGGGGTACAGGCCAGAGGTGCAGGGGCAGTGAGAGAATTCACCAGACACAGAGTGGGGAGCAGAACAGGCTGACTGACTGATACACACTGCTGAGGGGAGCAGCAGGCGGGTCAGGAGAGGTCTGCTACGCCATGTGGTTTACCTCTGGGGGGGAATCGAACTCATGCTGAAGTGGCTTTAGCTTCTTAGTGCTGTGCTTTAACCCACTGCACCACCAGGGAGGGCCCATAGATAGCATTTTAAGACAAAAAGTTTATAGCTGATAGAAATCCTAATTTTGGGTAGTAACTCCAATGATCATTTTCCTAGATAGTTAAGGGAAAGGTAGGAGTTTCTTGTGAGCCTGCAAAGCCTTAATTGTCCCCAGTTGAGAATATCTATAGGCCAGAGTGATCTGTCTTGGGCAAGCCTGTCTGGACATGTTGGGGAGCTCACCATGGAAGAAGAATCGCCCAGGATATTTTAGATTCTGGAAGGAAAGAGTCCCCACTTGAGTAGACCTCAGATATGCACAGAAGTTCCTCTTTTGCCTGATTGACCTTGACTTTCACTCATGCTCCTGACCTCGACTTTCATCCTCACAGCTTCAAAACAGCCAACCCATTGTGTCTGCACTCCAGCTGCCTACCAGGGAGAAAGAATAAGCAATCCCAGACTCAGCTGATCAATCCGTCCTTCTACCTCCTCAAGCTCATCTCAAACAAAAGCAGAAAAAGTATATCCCAGCTCTTGAGTGGTATTGCCTGATGTAATTTTTTTGTTATGATGGAAACGGTTCCATCTGCTGAGGGAGCCGCTAGCCCGCTAGACATGTGTGCTACTGAGCATTTAAAATATGTCTAGTGTAATCAAGGAACTGAATGCTTAATTTCATTTAAATGACCACCATGGGGTTAACATTTCAGCACTATCAAGCTATTGCAGCCATTGGAACATGAGTTCGATTTCTATCCCTGGGCGGGCAGCTGACCCACATAGCACAGAAGACCTCCCCTTTCCATCCACTGCTCCCTACCACTCCTCAGCAGTGTATTTCAACAGATTCACCTGTTCTGCTCCCCACTCTGCTTCTGGTGAATCCTCTCACCCTCCACCTCTGCCCTACAACCCAGTTCTAGAGTGCATCAATAAACTTAAAAGACAAATCTTTAAAAATAAATAAAAGGACCATTGATGATTAGTTACTGCTGTATTGGACAGCAGTAATTGAAATTGAAATTGTCTCACCAATTTTGTTTAAATGATGAGGCATCCTTGCTGTAAGATTGGATAATGGGACCCTCCCTGATGGCACAGCAGGTTAAAGCACAGCACTAAGAAACTAAAGTCATTTCGGCATGAGTTCAATCCCCACCCGCCCCAGAGGTGACCCACGTGGCGCAGCAGACCTCTCCTGACCCGCCCGCTGCTCCCCTCAGCAGTGTACTTCGTTGATCTGCCTGTTCTGCTCCCCACTGTGTCTCTGGTGAATCTTCTCACTGCCCCTGCACCTCTGGCCTGTACCCCAGTTCTGTATGAATAAATAAATAAATCTTAAAAAACAATAAAAAAGAAGTCAATGATAACCCCTCTTCCTTGATTAATCCCAACAGGAGAGGGGTTAAAAGAACCTCATAGATCACACGGACAAGCCCCTTTGGGAGGTCCACTGAGTGAGTGCTCCCAACTGGCCAGATCCTAGAAGTCCCCTCTAGGTTGGGTGGCCAGGAAGGAGGGGGAGGGAGGCCAGTACCAGGCAGCCTCTGCTCCGTGGCTCTGAGCGGGTGGGGAAGGCAGACTCTACACAGGCCCACCAGTCTGTAGCCCTTTTGTGTGAGTGCCTGGCAAGGATGACGTGGGGCTGTTCCTGGGACACAGCTGCGGCACAACCCAGGAGGCAGGCCCCGCAGCCCTGCCTCCCAGAGCCTCCCTCAGGCTTTTTCAGCAGTAGCGACACGCACCGCAGGGCCTCTGCGTGGCCTGACCCCGATGCCGGCGCTCTCTGTGCCCAGTGACAGCGGAGATGGCAGGTTCATTGAGCTCCTCTCTGCCCGGCTGCCTCCCCTCCCTCCTCCTCCTCCTCCTTCAGCTGTCCTCCAGCGATGCCGGTAAGATTTACCTCTTATTCCTGTCCTAGGAAACCCTGAGAACAGCAATAGACTCAAGTCCTTCATGGCATCCTCAAGGTCTAGACAAGCTATCTTTCAAAACTTGGATGTGCTGCTGGTTGGGTCCTCTCCTCAGAAACATCCAGAGCCCCCCTACAGCCTTCAGAATAGAACCCAAACTAGATAATGTGAGCTGACCTCAAGCTTCACCTTGAGCTACTTGCTTCTCATCTATCTTCCAGTTGGTATTGCCCAAGCGAGCAATAGTAACAGCCACCATTGAGAGTGCTGTTAGGTCAAGCGCTTAGTGGCGTCTATCCCATAGCTAACCTGGGTAAATATTGCTTGGATTGCAGTTTCCGGTCATGATGGGAAATAAGTTTTTACAGAGGAGCCCTGTGCTGCACAATAAGTTTTTACAGAGGAGCCCTGCTCTCGTGTTCTGGGAGAAATGAAAGAAACAGGTTTCAACCTCAAAGCTACTTGACTGACAGAGGCCCGGCCCAAGTCCTCCCTTGGGAATCGAAGCTCTTAGCCTGATTGAGGAGACTCTCAGGACATAGACTGGGAGCAGCAGGGCTGTGGTGGGGTGTGACGGGGTAGAAAGGAGGAAACAGAGCCACCTCCAGGGTGGAAGGGCTTAGAGGAGAGGAATTTTGGAATAGGGTGTGACTGAGAACAGAGGACTGAAGAGTGGTGGAGGAAAAAGCGAACGCAAAACTGGGCCCTCCCTGGAGGCGCAGCGGGTTACAGAGCAGCACTATGAAGCTGCCTGCAGCCACTGTAGTATGGGTTCAATCCCGGGCCAGAGGGCTGACCCACGTGTGGCACAGCAGACCTCTCCTGTCTCACCTGCTGCTCCCCTCAGAAGTGTGTTTCAGCACATCTGCCTGTTCTGCTTCCCCCTCTGTCTCTGGTGAACCCTCTTATCCCCCACACCTCTGGCCTATACCCCAGTTCTTATATGCATAAACAAATACAGCTTTTAAGAGAAAGAAAAAGCAAAACCTATGGGGAAGGGGGGAGGGGTCAATTTGGCCGGTTATGAACACGGATGTCCCTGGTAGAATGAAACCGAGAGCTCCAGTCGGAGGTTGGGCTGCAGAAGCAGAGGTGGATGCAGCAACTGTCAAGATGACCAGTCCAGAATGGTCTGTCTGGGGAGCTCAGGAACCATGCATGCGTGCATACATTCACACATGTACATGTTCTATAAAACATATACTCCAGACTCCACTTAAGAATGGAGAGATCAGGTCCTCCCTGGTGGTGCAGTGCGTTAGGACGCAGGACTGCAAGCTAGCCACAGCCACTTCAGTGCAAGTTCGATCCCCGGCCCCAGAGGTGACCCACATGGCGCAGCAGACCTCTCCTGCCTTGCCGGCTGCTCCCCTCAGCAGTGTACTTCGTCGATCTACCTGTCCTGCTCTGCTCCCCGCTCTGTCTCTAGTGAATCCTTTCATGGCCCCCCAACTCTGACCTGTACCCCAGTTTTTGTGTGCACAAATAAATAAGTCTTTAAAAAAGAAAGGACTATATTGGCCCTCCTTGGTGGCAAAGTGTGTTGGGGAGCAGCAATGCAAGCTAGCCGCAGCCGCTTCAGTGCAAGTTCGATCCCCGGCCCCAGAGGTGACCCACATGGCGCAGCAGACCTCTCCTGACGCTCCTGTGGCTCCCCTCAACAATGTAATTCATCCATCCGCCTGTTCTGCTCCCCACTCTGTCTCTGGTGAATCCTCTCACTGCCCCTGCACCTCTGGCCTTTACCCCAGTTCTGTATACACAAATAAATAAATCTTAAAAAAAAAAAAGAATCAAGAGAAGGTATTCTTCCCTGTTTTGATGACATGCTTGTCCATCTTTCCTCGGAGGCTTACCTTCCTTTCTTTGCTGTCTTGGACAGGACAGTTCAGAGTGATAGGACCGCGGCACCCCATCCGGGCTCTGGTGGGAGATGAAGCAGAATTGCCTTGCCGTATATCTCCAGGCAAGAATGCTACAGGCATGGAGGTGGGCTGGTACCGACCCCCCTTCTCTAGGGTGGTCCATCTCTACAGAAGTGGCAAGGACCAAGATGGAGAGCAGGCACCTGAATACCGGGGCCGGACAGAGTTGCTGAAAGAGGCCATTGGAGAGGGAAAGGTTACCCTCAGGATCCGGAACGTAAGGTTCTCAGACGAAGGGGGTTTCACCTGCTTCTTCCGAGATCACTCTTACCAAGAGGAAGCAGCTATGGAGCTGAAGGTGGAAGGTGAGTAGGGGGATATTAACCAACACCGCAGTTTGAGACCAATGGGGACGAGGTCCTTCAAGCCAAACATCTCATGCCTGGGAATTCATTACATAGAAATAAGCACATCCGCACATGGGAATTTACATGCTCATGGATGTCCATTGCAAAAGCAGAAAATGTTCTTTAAAAATGATAAGTGAAGGCTGGAAAATCCAAATGATACCATTCCTATTATAAACAATCAATTTCTGATTATTTTGGGCTACTAGAAGGGAATAAAAATAGCCTGAAAGTTAATCAAAGTATCCAACTGGACCTTAGATACTTTTCATAAAATTTATTTTTGTGTAAGAGAACTGGGGTGTAGGCCAAGGATACCTAGAGCCGTGAGGAGATTCCCCAGAGACAGAGTGGGGAACAGAGCAGGCAGCTATACTGAGATACACTGCTGAGGGGAGCAGTGGGGAGACAGGAGAGGTCTGCTGGGCCATGTGGGTCAGCTCCCTGGTCTGGGGTCAAACTCAGGCCTAGTAGTGATAGCACTGAGATTTAACCTCTAGGACAGCAGGGAAGCCCAACCTTAGATATTTTGTTTTGCTCTGGAATGTCTTTTGTTTCTCATAAACAAGAGCATGGTTCTTAAGGAGCCAAATGAATCAACTCCTATTACAATGAATTTCTCAGTTGATGTGTTTATAGAATTCCATTAGATAAGGAACATCATTGAAATATACATTGCTATATACATTATTGAAATATACATTAAATTATATATTGTATATAGTTACATATATTGAAGCATACATTTAAAGATACATTATTGAAATATATGATAATTATATATATATATTTTTATATATACTTATATATATATATGTAGCGTGTGTGTATCTATATATTGAAATGTGCATTACAGTAACCGTCCACGTGAATAAACAAGTAAAGCAAATGTCTACATATAATTATAAAAATATAGCAATGCCAGGCCCTTCCTGGTGGCACAGTGGGTTAAAGCACAGAACTAAAAAGCTAAAGCCACTTCCGCATGAGTTCGATCCCCTCCCTGGAGCTGACCCACATGGCTCAGCAGACCACTCCTGACCCTCCCACTACTCCCCTCAGCAGTGTACTTCATCAATGGGCCTGTTCTGCTCCCCACTCTGTCTCTGGTGAATCCTCTCACGGGCCCAGCACCTCTGGCCTGTACCCCAATCTTGTATGCATAAATAAATAAATCTTTAAAAAAAAAATAGTGATACCACCTTTAAAGTTTATCTCCATTGCAGTTTCCTTTATGATTTCGGGTTTCTTTATGTTGCATTATCCCAGGATAGTTGAGATAGAGACAAGTAGACAGAAACTTTAAAAGTTAATTCTGCTTAGTTGAACAACAAAAGAGTTTTGCGGGGTCCCTTTGCTTTGACCCTTCCCACCTACAGCACCCACATCAGACAATCCCTCATTTCTGTGTCTCCAGGACAACCGTGGCAGTGTAGCAGCAAAAGAGCATTGTGTCCTGGATAACAAAGCACTGTTTCTAGAGACCAGCGCAGGGATGTGACAACAGCTCTGTGTGCCACACAGTGTCCCTCAGACAACTGTTCTTACTGGGGAGTTTTTACCTGCAGGAAAGTCTGAAGGGAAAAGTTCCCCGTGGGGCTAGTTTCCATATCCAGCGTTTCCTTCCTCCCCATACTATGCTTACCCAAAACCAAAACAGGAAAAAAAGAAAGAAAGAAAAAGAAAAAGGCAAGAGTGTTTTACAAATGAAAGGGATTATCCTCGGAGGCTAGAGAGCCTGGAAACTGAGACAAAACTGAGCTGAAAGGCAGTAGAAAGTTCCACTCACCCTGCCCACACCATCCAAAAGGAGAAACAACAGAAGAAGAGGTAGGTTACTTGGGGGATCTAAGAACACTACTATCATCGATTTACATGGAAAAAATGTTGAGCCTTCCCAGACCCCCAAAATAACCTATCACATCATCACAAATAAAGAAGTTCTGCTTTCCGGTGGCGGTGGGTCAAGGGAAGCTGTAGCTGTTAAGGCAAGTTTCAGGTGTTACCTGCCTCCCCTCTTACTCTAAACAGCTTCTGATCTTTCTTTCTTTTTCTTTTTTTTTAAAGATTTATTTATTTATTCATAATGAACTGGGGTACAAGCAGAGGTGCAGGGACGGCGAGAGGATTCACCAGAGACAGAGAAATACACTGAAATATTGAAATATTGAAATATTGAAATACACTGCTGAGGGGAGCAGGGGGCAGGTCAGGAGAGGTCTGCTGGGCCATGTGGGTCAGCTCCCTGGCCGGGGATCAAACTCGTGCTGCAGTGGCTGGTGATACAGTCATAGTGCTATGCTTTAACCTGTTGCACCACAAGGAGGGCCCTCAAATATAATAACTATTTTTAAAAACCATAACAATGATGCTACAGTCACTTCTTTGAAGATTAAAAACCCTTAAGGTACAGTTTATGTTCAATTTTCCTTTGCTTCATAATTATACTTTTACACTTGGGTTGTATGCATTGAAGCCACACAGGATCCATACTGTGGTGTTGGCATTATAGAGCTCCCTGCGATCTAGATTTTGCTGAGTTCTCTTCCAATCTGTTGTTTAAATGTGGTCCATGCCCCATATTTCCTGTAAATTCATACAGGTCCATGATTAGATTCAGGTTTGATTTACTTTGTCAAGGCTGCTTCATAGATTATACTATATACTTCCCATTGCTTTACAGCAGAAGACTCCTAATCTTTTCTCTATGTTATTCTAATCCTTTGTGGAAATAAAAAAAGTATGAAAAAAAAAGACCTAAAGTATGCACTTGCTAACCCACATGGCTACAGATAACCTTTTTTTTTATTATTTTTTATATTTTGTTTTTATGTTTAAAGATTTATTTG